TAACAATCTATAGGAAAGATAACGACAAAAGAAGCAAGAGAAGCAAAATAGCAAAAGTGCAAGTACAGGTAAGCTAGGAGTGCTGGACTAGTATGTGGACTAGTGCTCGTAGAAGAGGTGTGATGGGCGATCAATAGGACAAGGGTTTAAGCTATAGTCCTTATTCACTTATTAATCACTCCCTGTTCACCCCCTAGACGTCGCTGGCATATTTGGGTAAGTCCCAACGATTGTGTGATTCGAGAGATACCTGTAGGGCATGTCACCAGCGCCCATCACCGATCCGCAGTATAGAGTGGGTTATTTAATAATTTCCCAGCTCGTTTTCCCTTCGTATAGTACGTCAATGAAGTCTGCATGCGCAGCTAGACATGTGGCTACCACGGGAGATTTTCCAACCCGTCACCGTTCATTAGTGGGTCATTCTGTCGCATATCATTATATGTTGAATTCAATGTGGTAGATGAAATATTTTTGTTTTACTTCTATAGCTAGTTTATTGTATTTTGGTTAAAATGAACGTTAAACTGAGATTTGGCATACATGTCCGCTCTGTGTGAGGTCACTCTCTCTCTCATTGTCACTCACGCTCCCTGTCGCCCACACACGCACACACACACACACACGCTAACTCACTCATTCATTCACGCAGAACAATAGACACTGAAACCTTTCATTAATAGGGTTTGTTGCTGTCGTATTTGCAAGCACAAAGATCTATGACGTATCTCTTTTGCCTGCGATTTTGTCAGCCGTGACGTGTGACTTGTACATTATTTCTTATTTTTACATACATTTCTTCTCTGTGTTACGACAATTGGTTCAAGTAAATCCTTACATATTGCCATTGTCGTTTCCCTTATTTACTCTCATCTATCTATCAGAGACGGTTGGTAGTTCAAGCCATGTCTTGGCGGATCGCTACTGACGTTTCCCTCTTATTTTCTTCTTTACCTTTGTGAAAGTTCAACACAAAATGAAAAAAGGACAAAAATAATGTAAATTCGATTATCAAAAACTGCAAATTTGTAAAGAATAATCGGCTAGTGGCTGCTTAACACCCCCTCTTCTCTGTTGTCTTTCTTTTTCTCTTACTATCTTGGCCCTTACGTGTATAATCTGGTTTACCGATATCTGGCAAGTTGCTTATGCAAGGTCATGGAACGAATTGTTAATTGTTAGGCTATTGCATTTTTTTAAATTCCAGCAATTTGCTAGTTGACGAGCAGTGCGGTTTCCGAAAGGGATACCAAACTCTCGACCAACTAGTAAAGCTGGACAGACATATTCAAGAGGCAGTTGCCAAAAAAAATTGATTTCAGTATTTTTAGATATAAAAAAAGCCTACGACATGACATGGCGATATGGCCTACTCAGAAAACTTTGCTAATGATATATAAAACCCTGATTAGGTCTAAAGTAGATCACAGGTCAATCGTGTATGGTTCGGAATCGAGAACAAGTTTGAAAGGTTTGCATGCTGTGCAGAATGCTTGTTTGCATGTGTGTGTTGGAGCCCTAAAACACTCGGATTGAGCGTCTTGAGGTGGAGTCAGGAATACCTCCCTCCGACTCAGACGCGGCCAGTTAGCACTCAGCCCTAAAAAAAGCTGACACAGGCCGGGCCATAGCCGAAGGCCCGGGCGAAGCTAGAACTTCGCAAATCGCAATCGATCGACCACAGCGCTCTGCGGCAATCTGGTGTCCACCATGGAACTCTATGCTTATCTGTCGAAGTTTTAGGAATGGATAGCAAAGCTGCTTCTATAATCGAATGCTGAATATTGTTTACTTTATCATCAATGGTTTCTCCAACAAGTTCAAGCTTGACGCTCCTTGTGAAAGCGACCCAGTCTGCTCTTTTTACGTTAAATTTGGGTGCTGAAGGCGTTCTCGCTGTGTCGCATGAATATTCAATCAAAATAGGAAGATGTCGTCAATGGTGTGCCACAGACACTTGGCTGCTATTAATGAAGAGACCAGTGATATGTCAATAAAGTTCAAATTACCGGTATTATTGTCCACCCGCGTTGGACGACCATCGTTCAGGACTACTTCAGACTCATTAATCAGCTTAACTACTTGCTCACCTCTACCATCCACCCGCAGAGAACCCCACAACGTATGATGAGCATTAAAATCACCTAAAATTACTTTATTTTGTGGCAGACGTTCCTGGAAAGCAAAGAGCTCATCATAGATTACCACTGTATCAGGTGAATAATAAACTGAACATACAGCCAGATACGTGCCATTAATTTTTACTTTGCATACGATAAACTCCAAAGTAGAATCAATAGTCACTTCTGTAAAAGGGATGCTTTGGTGGATGCACATAGCGACTCCGCCTTCACCCCTACCCTCACGATCCTTCCGACATAAATGGTAGTTCCTCAGCGAAACAAC